AAAAACGGAAAATAAACTTTTTAATTGCTCCAAACGACGATTTGGAGTGCATCTGCAAAATTCGAATTGAATATAATTGTGCGAGAGACATGTTCCCTAAAGATAGGCAATCACTATTCGTTCAATCGAATTTTCCTCCTAAATTCGACCGAAAATAGTCTTTCAAAGAGTCGCTTTCAATAATCTAATGAGGAGTTGTCTGTAGCTTTTACGCTCAAGATAAGTACCTTGAAATCACATTTCCCTTATTGCATTTACGTACTCTGTAAGGCCATCTACTCAAAAACCCTTCACTTCTTATATTTTGCTCAAATTAGGTTAAGGACAAAACGTTAACGAAATGCTTTGCATTTGGTTCAGCTGACAATAAGGTTTGCTGGGTGAGACCACGAAGGACTAAATGCCTACGACTGCTGCGACATAGCTTTGAGTCAGAGAAATCCAAAACCATGTTACAGGAGACTTTAAAACATAGCAATATCACTCGAAAAGAGAGCATAATGCAACTTTTTGTCAAATGCAGAGATTTTCGAAAAACTTAGTGCTAATTTGACCATTTTTGTCGTTAATTGTGATGTTATGTAAAGCAAAATGTCAAGTTGCCTCAGGTCGATCTCAATATTTCACTCTTACACATCTCCTCCTGTGCCCTCCGTTCTCAGCTTGACAACTGTAAGAACCAGAAGGAGTACTTTACGAACAGAGAACTATGTTCACGCTATCGTGCTCTCCTGCACCACAGTGACTGACGGCTTGGCACGAAATCGTTACGATGAAGAAAATTCTAGGAAATGGATACTGGAAATTGTTCATACAAGCATTATCAAAAGAACATAGAGTTTTTATACATTTAATAATTTGCAACAATGCCTGCAAAAATCAATTCTTTACAACATGACGGGATGCAAAGTTTATTATGATATAAATCATGCAGGAACCAAAATAAATAATAATTCTTACATAGTTTGCGATCTGTTGTTAGCTTAAGCCGTTTATGATTAAAATCTAGCAAAAAGTAAATCCTGAACAAATTTCACCACTTTTCTTTGTATGTTTAGCATAGCATTGGGATCAGTTGATGCTACAATGTCAACGCACAAGCTTACACCAGCGACCCTCCGACATACCTAAAAAGATGATCATTTGATTGCAATAGATGATCGTATTATAATATGACACATTATATATGAAGAAAATGACATAAACACCTGCTGATAAGGGCAATCAGCATTTGTGCGGCAAAGCTGATCATGACGAGGATCTTTGTATTGTGATTGACGACAACGGAATACCTTGAAAACAGGACATTATTGTGAATCCCAGAGTATGCCATTGTAAAACTAGCACAATACCTTTTCCTTGCCTTGATCTGCGATATTTACACATTTTTCACCGCCTGAACACTCATAATCATAAGTACATGCGACTGTTCCCAGTGCTGCCTCTATTGATGTTGTGCAAACAAACATTCCCGTCTTATTCCGAATACAAAGCTGAAAAAAGGGTAATCAAACCGTATTCGATTTCGTGACT